TTACTGTATGTCAGTCAGTTCGCATGCGTTGATCGGAGGAGATTCGCCCACACAAACGTACAAAGGTACAAACCCCATCCACACACGTCGTCACTGCTGCGCGTAGAAGTCTTACTGTAGTTTATAATGAATATAAAATTAGTACAAAATAAGACACAACACATTTCTTTATTGTTTTTATTTTTGTAACGACGTTACCTTTTTTTTTTGAGAGAAGTCTAATAAATTTAAATATATTTTATGTGCGAAAACATGTTTCTAATAACACAGTTGAAAAATGTCACTCGGAAATGTATGTAATTTATCATCATAAGATAAAATATAATTTTAATTTTTTAAAAATTACAATAAGCCTGCCTAAACCAAACTTATAGAGGTATATATTTGTTAATCCTTTAAATTGCATTTAATGTAACAACTGATAATGGGTCATAACAAACACAACACAAGTTAGGAAAACATCAATTAGACATTGATTTGATAACAGTTTGGCATCGCACTCTGATATACCTACTGTAGGCCTAATTGTCCAACATACACAATGATTGGACACTGCACGCCTGGCGCTCCATACAAATTACTTGTTTATAGACTTGCGGACACTTCGACGACTCGGGGCCTTTTCTGTCCCCGGCCCCCAAAAACTGTAGTACGTAGTGTACAGTAAACAAGGAGTCATTCATTTGATACTTTAGATAGCCATTAAGGTCAAACGTTTAATGATTATTATTAACTATCATTTTGAACGAAGGAGGCTTAGGCTAGTAGGCTAGGGCCCGGCTTAGTAGAGGCGGGCCTCTAGGCTATGGGCCAGGCCTAACCTAGTAGGTAGGTCTAGCCTAGGCCTTGGTAGGCTGAGCTGGCTATCTGTTCTGGAAGCCTAAAATAAGTAGTAGTAGGCTAGACCAGGGACTAAGTACAGTTGAGGTTATTTAATTAAGGCCTAGCTAGGCCGGTAGGCCTGATTCTGAACTAGCCTGGCCCTAGTCTGTGGATTGGTGGCTCCAGCGCAGCGGGGTTGGGGCGGCAGGGGGAATTCCCCCATTGGATAGATCCCCTGTCGTTCGACGCACTCCTAAGTTGTCGGATCCAAAATTAAAAATAATAGTTTTTTACCTATCCGAATTAAACATACCGTGGCATTATTTTGACTGACTGTCGACATTGTCATATTATTGTGGTCTATTGCACATTGGACCTTTCTAAGCCATAAAAACTCTCCCCGTGCACCCTACAAGGTCCAAGGGAGGTTTTTATTCAGGGCTGAGGCTTCATTGGCGCTTGCTTGTCTCGGACCTCCGTTAGACCCATTGTCGGCAAATCTCTGGCTTCACCGCTGACTCTAGGCCTAGCTTATTGTAGTAACACAAAAATGTTTGTTGCATTTTGCCAAGAGCTATGTCCCTGCTTCTTGCACTGTAGACCCCGAGTCGGGTTTTAAATAAAGTCAGATCGCTCTTCTCCTTGACAGTGGCGGCTCTAGATATAATTTATGTGGTGGCTAAGATGTCCGACTGGGGGGGGGGGTGGCTAAGTATTTATATGTGTAACTATAGTGCGCAGCGTTATCTGAGGGCCGAAGGGCCGAGCCAGAGGTGGGTTTTTAAAAAAATTCTGCATTCTTAAATAGGTACATTGGAGTGATAAGAATGATGGTGTTTTTCTTAATGTATTTGGTAATAATTAATAAAATGTTTATAAATTCTTTTTTAAACAGGTAATTAACAATTATGTTAATGTCATGATGATTGCATTCAAAGTAAAGGCTCTAATTTGCCAGGTGAAGATCAATCATTTAAGAAGACATCTACTGCTTGCAACAACGAATCACAGATGCCAACATACAAAGAGTAAATTCATATAAACTACTCAGTTACAGGCCACCTGATTGGGCAAGCCACCTTAAAATGATTCCATTAGTGAAAGTTAAGGTAGGAAAAAATCCAGTTGTATATAAATATATTTGATTTTCTAAATACTTTTATTTATATATGAGAATATAATTTTTTTAATGTATTAATCAGTCAATTTTTTAAGCTGAACTCCTGCTTTAAGGCACTCTTATTATTATTAAAGGGAAACTTTTTTGCAAAATGTCTTTTAGCTCTACAGCCAACCTCTATTACGAGGAAATGTTTATTAAAAAGATGGGAATACAGTAGGTTTGCCAGATGACCAGTTCAAACACATTCAGTTCCTGTGGAACAAATTCAATTGTTAAGATCAAAATAATATTTTCAAAGTAAGTCTCAAAATTTAAAATTGGATATCAGTTTATGTACGTAAATCTACAGGCTTTTCAAATGCATACAATATAGATAGCACTTAGTCGCCAGTTACTCCATTAATTTTCTCAATTAATAAGGGTAAATAAATATTTTTTAGCTTTTTCAGCCATTTACACCTGTTCATAAATGGAGTCTTCCAAATATACCAGATGATATTGATATTTATATCAAGCGATGACATGACTGGATCTGTTTTATCAGGTAACAAGGTTAGATGTCTAATCCTGTATTGCTTTAGTCACACTGATAATATCAACATTTATTTAAATTAATAAGATCATTTAATAATACTAAAAATCAAGTCACAGATAAAAGAAAGTATCATTTCCAATTATTTAAATTCATTTTAATTCAAAAATTCAGGAATTTTGTCACATAGAACCTGACAGTGTCAAGCCCCTCCCCCCATTGGACAGAAACACATCGGGCAGTTGAACTAAAAAGAAATATAAAAATAGCCCACACCAAGCCAACAGATGTCTGTCACAGTCTGAAAGTGTCATTTCTGGCCATCCATAGGTTCCTATTCTTAAAAAAAATCTCATTTGGAAGCTCAAAAAATATATCCTAGAGCTGCCACTGCTGATGTGTGATCAGAGCTTAAGTTTAAGATAGTAGTGGAGATGTGCTTGGTGGTGACAATGCTTTGCCTTCAGATTCCTGGGTTCTGGGTCTCATGACTCAAAATATTTTCCCTCTCTATGTCTTGCATCACATTATTTCATATATTTAAGTTTGCCCCTGAATATCAACTGACCATAATAATATTTGATAGTCTGTCCTTATTATTTGTCCTCTGCTTCGTCTCTGTCAGTCTTTTTGCTTTTAAATTCAAATTTATCAGCGCCCTCTGTCATAAGTTTATGTTTTTACTAGGTACGGAAACTGGAGTTCTTACTAGGTGAAGCCTTAGCAACTGGTTGCCAAGCAGTGATAACATGTGGTGGAGTTCAGTCAAACCATTGTCGCACAACAGCAGTTGCAGATAAACAACTTGGTATTGAAACCCATCTTCTACTCAGGTCCAGGTCAGAGGTAAATACTTATCAGTGGCAGATTGAAGATGGAACCCTGGGGGGACTCAGCTGACCTGTGCCCCTTCATATTATTTTTAAGTTCTTTTTAAAGAATAGAGAAAACACAAAAGAAAATTGTATTCAAATTTAAGTGTAAGAGAGCCATTTCCAGCAATCTAGAGGTGCCACAATTATAGTTTTTCTCAGCCCTACGATGGTTGTTGGACCCTTGGTCTGTGAATGTCTTTCCCTGGACCCCTATATTCTCAATTTCTTGATTTTCCACTGCTTAATACTTATTATATGACATTCAGTGTAAACATCGCCTGCTCTATCCACTGGTCTAATTTGAGTGTAGTGTTTTTACTAGCCTTGATTTTTCCCACTTCTTTAAGGCTGTGCTTATACTCACTGCCTATGCCCAGCCAACTGCTCTCCAGGGCTCCAAGTAAATAAATGAAAATAATAATATAAAAAAAATAAATCATTACTTAACACATTCATCTCATATTCTCAATCATTCAGCAATTAATTTTATCTTTTATTAGAACCTTTCTGAGACTGGTTGTCATGGGAACATGTTATTTAACAGTTTGATGGGTGCATCCATGTACTTGGTTCCCATAAAAGCTCAAGAGAAGACCGACCTTGAGCCAAGAATGCAGCGGCTTGCCCATAGACTGCAGTAAGTTGGAAGTTTTGACCACTTTTTTTTATTTTCCTCAAATGGAAAGCAACTTGTCAATCAATCAATCAAACCATCCTCTGGCATCCATAACCTTCACTAACATTCCAAAGGGAAGCAACTTGTCAATCATGTTCTGGCATTCTTTGAATGCATATTTCATCAAAAAATTCCTCTACACACGTTCCTCTACAAGAAGATTATGATATAGAGTTTTTTAGAACAAGGGCATCAATCCGTTGTGGAAAGAGGTCAGGGGACAGTCTTGTACTATTGCGACTACAATATTATGAGTGGAAATACTACCGTCTAATTTACGATCAAACAGGACTAGGGAGAATGGAAGCGCACAAAACATTAGTTAGCATTTTTATTTCACAACCATAAAGGTGATTTGTATTTAATTTATCATTATCATGACGTGCAAGATTGCGTCAACAGAACATCTGAGTTCTTGAACTTGTGATATCGCTACTTAAATAAGTTGAAATAGATAGACATGTCCTTGTCAAAGGCTGTACATTGTTTAATAACGGCTATATAAAATTAAATTGACTAACTATAATTTGTTGAAATTGGGAAAAACAAGAATCTACCGTAGCCTATGTATGTAGATAATACCGTATTAAACACTATAGGCTGTTATAATGGTCTTAATAATATACAAAAGGAATAGATCGTTTTTAGTAGAAATTGTGCACTTTTAAGTTTGTAAAAATGTTGGCCTAATAGGTTTACACACTTCCAATAACTAAAACATCTCCACTCCCAAAGGGTTTATATTGTACCTGTATGCATATGTATCAAATGTGAGTGCAACATTGCACTTGTATATGTAGCAAATAGGAGTGCAACATTTTTTAGCATGTATATAATAATGTCGTGATCATTGATAAAGAGATTGATTGTTTTGATTGATTTTGTTCATTAACACTCTGACCGCCAGGGGATTGAAAAAAATAGTATCAGCCACCGCCAGATTTTTAGCCAATTTTAACACCTTTCCGAAGCTCGTAGAGAGTGCGTATGAGACCAGATTGACATGTAGTGAATACTACAAGAACTACAAACATTTTAGCTTTACATTACAATGGAACCAAACACTTTATTCTAATCACTATCTGTGACCCGTAACAGTAAATTGAAAGTGACTCACTTTTGGAGATTTACGCAATTTCGCAAAAGGAAGCTGAGATAATCACGATTTTGTGAAAGTAAATAAATACTGCTCTATGCTAATGTAAACAAACAAATAGTGAAATACTTACGGTCCAGACTGAATATAGTGTTCAAATTGTTAGTACACGTCAGTAATTACCCCATCTTTGGGATTCCATACAAAAAACCTGAAACACAGAGATCTCCCTGATTGGCTGTCAAGCGTTGCGTCCATGTTTGGCGGGCAGAGTGTTAATGATATGATTAATGGGATAATTGATTGAATTGATTAATTGGTTTATTGATTGATTGGTTGATTATATATATTTATTGATCATTTTCATTGAATTAATTGATTGTTTTAGGGAGTGACTGACAGGTTTGATGATGTCATACTGACTGTAGGCAGTGGTGGAACAGCATCTGGTGTTGCTATTGGCAACTTCCTTACTGGATCTCATCTCAGGTATTTATTAAGGTGATCTTTTTATTTGGTGTTTGGTAAAAAAAATAACCTGCACGACATCAGCTATTAAAACATAATGACTTAGTACACACACACATATGGAGTGGACTATTAGTGCAACATTGAGCAAGTTTGAAACCTGCGAGTACATTGCTTGTCCTTGTTAAAGCCCTGTACAGACTAAATATGGTCATGATGACATCACAACATCACCATATATAGACACATCATGCCTAAATATGGTCATGATGACATCACAACATCACCATATATAGGCACATCATGCCTAAATATGGTCATGATGACATCACATCATCACCATATATAGGCACATCGTGACTTTATATGGGCATGCACCAGTTTTTGTCAAAGAACACTTGGACAGAGCTTTATTTTGAGAGATTTTACAGAGACAGATTATCATATATATTGGCACATCGTGACTTTATATGGGCATGCACCAGTTTTTGTCAAAGAACACTTGGACAGAGCTTTATTTTGAGAGATTTTACAGAGACAGATTATATTATCATCACCATATTATATTATATGTAAATTAACTCAAAACATTTTTTTGCCATATATAGACACATCATGCCTAAATATTTTTTTTTTATTCATTCATAATTCGACAACACAATACAAAAGCAGCAAAACAGCAATATAAATATCAATATAAATACATATACAAATATATAAACATACACACATACACAGATATACATAAATACACACAAACGTACATAAATACATACACATACATATATATAATATATACATATAAATAACTTCACGTGCTTCAACAATCTTGATTCCAAAACACTTAAAACATATTATTCTTGTCTTACATCATGCCTAAATATGGTCATGATGACATTACAACAGTTTTTTGATAGATTTATAAAACTTTATATTTAGAAAGATTGATAATATTATAAGCTTTATTTTGGTCTTTGATTCTAGTTCTTAGGGTCACTACAAACTGGCATGAGCTTGTTTTAAAATTCAGGCCAAAATGCTTCTAAAGATAAACAATTACTCTAATCAATTTCTTGCTAATTTTCTATTATCTATTTTTAAAAACAGCTTTACAAAAGTACCTTAAACACTTGTCATATGTAAATTAACTCAAAATATTTTCCATCATGAAATGTGCATATTAAACTTTTCACCATAATTGAAACACATTTTTATTTTCAAAAAAATAGAGCAGTAGAACCCAATCTTTGGGACACCCCTATTAAGGGGACACTTTTGTCCTGAAGGTGTCCCCCTAATAGAGTGTCTGCACGACATCAGCTATTAAAACATAATGACTTAGTACACACACACATATGGAGTGGACTATTAGTGCAACATTGAGCAAGTTTGAAACCTGCGAGTACATTGCTTGTCCTTGTTAAAGCCCTGTGCAGACTAAATATGGTCGTGATGACATCACATCATCACCATATATAGACACATCATACCTAAATATGGTCATGATGACATCACGTCATCACCATATATAGACACATCATGCCTAAATATGGTAATGATGACATCACATCATCATCATATATAGGCACATCATCACTATATTATTATGGGCATATAACAGTTTTTGTCAAAGAAGTTTTGATAGTGTAGAAAGCTTTACACTGATTTGAATTGTTTGTATTTTTTTAAAATAATTCATTAAAACAGTAGCCCAGCAGACTAGTATTTTGCTTGACCACACATACACTGGTAAATCAGCACTAGCACTGACCAACGAGCTCAGGAAACACAGGTCAATGTTCAAAGGCAGCCGAATACTCTTTCTACATTCAGGTATGTATCCATGCTTGATATTGAGGACAGGTGTTAGTGTAGGGAAGGGCTCTTGACACTTCACTCCCTCTCACCTCCCCCCCCCCCACCTTTTCACCCTTGTATTGATGGAAGAAGTGTGCAATATACTAATTCCATGACAATGTTTACAACAGCATAAATATTAAAATGTAATCATCTTGCTAAGAAAGCTATTCTTAAACACTCCTTAATAACATACACTGTGTAACATAGCAAACAGAAAGATAGTTTCTCGTTGTGCATGTGTGTAGAATACAATTTAGTGATTATTGGTGGTTTGTATTTTTGTATGCAGGGAAATAGATAAAACAAATAAGAAATAGATGAAAACATTCTTATTTTAACAGTTCTTCTTTTTTTTTGTGCGTCAGGTGGAATATTTAGCATGTTTGATGGGCGGCTAGGAGATGTCCTGATGCAGTCAGCTGGAGAAACATTGGTACAGAACTGGATGAACCCTGAAGATGAACCGAATATTGTATGAATGCTACACTTACGAGGGCAGTCTTTATGGATATCTTACAAAGTTGATAACCTAGAGTATACATGTTGATGGATGCTACACTTACGAGGGCAGTCTTTATGGATATCTTACAAAGTTGATAACCTAGAGTATACATGTTGATGGATGCTACACATGTGAGTGCAGGCTTCATAAATATTTTATTAGAAACACAGTACAGTATATTGCACATGCTATGTATGTGTGCTATACTTATAAGGGCAGGCTGCAATGCATATCTTGTGACATTGGAGTATACATGTTGATATATGGATGGTACACTCATGAGGGCAGGCTTCATGAATTTTTTCTCTATGTGTGAATTAGAATCTTAATGTGCTCCTGGGGAGCTTAGATGAGACACTTGCGCTACCTATTTTACTGAAAATTATTAGGGACTTGAACTAAAATCCGGTGTCGGTTGAACTACTATTACAGCCATGTAACCTACCAAATGAAACTTGCACTGGTTCCCGATGGCGAATAAGACATCTGTTCTGTCTGTTCGCGACCCCAACTGTTCGTTGCTATGTATCAACAGTAGGTTTAGAGGCTTAGCACTGAGGTTAGCACAAAATTTTGGCTAAAATCGTGTGAAGAATTATGCTACTTTGATACAGGAGAGAGCATGACTTTAACTACCAATTTTACCTGGTATTTCCCACACTTGTGCTTCCAAATCCTTGCGAATATACCCTATACATGCTGAAACTCTTCCATAAATTCCCACACTCAGTCCTGCTCTTTCAAATTGGTAGTGATATCTCGAATGAATTTTCATGTTTTTGTGGATGACTGACATTTCAAAGAAGAAAAGTCTATGGCATTCAAACCCAAATGTTATTACAGGTAAACCAGACATATTGAGAGGACTGTTGTTATCAGGCTGTTGTTAAAACGTTCTTGTGGCTTCGCAGTCCTCTTTTCAGATTTCAGATTGCTAGTGATTATCTGGAATATATTTCATGTTTACCGTATGTGGATAATAAGAAGATAAGTCTACAGAGTTGAAGCACTAAACTTGAGTGAACTGATGGTTTTCTGG